ATGCCACCCCGTGTGCGCGGGCCAGTGCCCCCCCAACCCCTACCGTGCACTAGTGCCCCCCAATTTTACCCGATTTTACAATGAAACACGCGTTTTGCCATATTCGGGACTGGTTCGAAGTTTTGCAAAAAAAAAAAGTTATTGTCTAAAAATTTGGACAGCATTTCCCCATAAATATAAGCTTCCCCAAAACCAAAGTAACCTGTACAATGTAATAAGAATAAATGCATTGCAACGCCAATAATAAAAACATTGCCACACCAATAATGTTGTGTATACATTTTACAACAAGCAAAAGAACCAACATTTCATATACTACTACTCACGGGCCTCTTAAGCTTGTACTCGCTCTAAATTCCGACCGCAAGTTTCAACCGGTGAGTTTCTACTTGTTCTTCAGCGAGGTCTTCTAACGGGATTCTGCAGATAAGGTATTCGATAAATTTGTATGTGTAAAGTCCGCAGTCACCTGATCTAAGGTTGTGGACCAACCACTTGGGACGAACGATTGGCCACTCACAATCAAGTTTATTGCCCAGATGGTTAAATAAACTTGTGTACTTCAAGAACTCGGGCATCATGATAGAGATTGACTCCACGTGTTTTCACATCTATTGATCTATGTACATCATAATAGCTGAGTCAAACATCTTTATGTTGAATTCAGATAAATCAATATAAAGCGCAACCTAATGCTTCCTCTCAATGTTAATAGGCATAGTGAAGCCCTGCGCGCTATCCCATTTATGGCCAATTATGCGCTTTTTTCCACATACATATTCATCCAGGTCGTTGTCAAATGTATACGTTGCTAAGTTCTTTTTGTTGGTGATGAATCGCCCTCTCAATTTTTGGCAAAATACATCATCTATGACGATAATATCGTTATTGAATTGCCTTTCGGGTGCCCGTGACCTTCTCATAGATAGAAGACCCCGTGCCTCGTCAATTTGCTGTAAGTCATAAAAAATAAATTCAGTATAATGATAATGGTATAAAAAATAAGACTATAAATTTAAAAAATATGCTGTGATTACTTACATCATTGAATAGCCATTCACCTGGCTTCAAGATGATCCGGAAGAAGTCCTTCTTCCAATCTTCAAAATCGCACTCAATCAGCTCAGAGTCTGTACTAGTATCAGCGAACCACTTGTTGAATGCCTCAATAGCATCTTTAAAGGTCCACATCTTCTTCCTCACGTTACGCAGGGGATCCGTGTAAGGCGACTCAAAATACTTGCTGGGCCTTTTAAGTCGCTTTTCATTCTTGGATTCAGACTCTGACTCTGAATGAACATGTTGCTCAAGTTGTTCCTCAGGCTCTGGCTGAACCTGTGGCTCAAGTTCTTCCTCAGGCTCTGGCTGAACTTGTGGCTCAAGTTATTCCTCAGGCTCTGGCTGAACCTGTAGCTCAAGTTCTTCCTCAGGCACTGGCTGTGGCCGTAATTGTTGTTTTGCTAGACATGCGATATTGTCCTTAATTTCTCTAACAGATTGGTCTAGCGAGTCTAACCTCTTGTTGATGGCTTCAAAATGTCTACCATTGTACTCTACTATCTTGTGATAGAGTATGTCAAGTATGTAATCAATAGACATA